TAATTCATTGGTTCTGCTGTTATTGCCAGCCACCAGAGGTTGGTACAATTCCTTTTGGGCGTCCGGCAACTGGCATTACACAGTACAAAATTTCAACACCGAATAAATGAATAAACGAGTTGGCCCCAAACTCATGTTGCTCCTCTTAAGCAGAAGGGTGCTCGTGGTTCAAATAGCCGTAGAATGAGAGAGGGGTGCTTTTCCCTCCAGATGTACTGAGTTTGGGGCAAAGGCATGATAATAGAAGTATTTATTTATTTATATTTATTTATTTAATTAATTTGTCAAACATGTACCAGATAACAGGTATAAGTATAAACATGGACATGAACAAGGAATGAGTACAAGTAAATGGGGACAGTAGGATAGGGACGGTACGTAGGCACGATGGCGCTTATGCACGCCCCCTTTACGGACCTCTTAGAAATGGGGTGAGGTCCACGGTAGATAGTTTAAGGTTGAAGCTGTGAGGGTTGGTAACAACGGAGTCAGGTAGAGCATTCCAGGCGTTGACCACTCTGTTGCTGAAGTTGTATTTTCTGCAGCCGAGTTTGGAGCGGTTTACCTTGAGTTTGTATCTATTGTTTGCCCAAGTATTATTGAGGTTGAAGCTGAAATAGTCCTTGACAGGTAGGACGTTGTAGCAGACAATTTTGTGTACTACACTTAGGTCAGACTGTAGGCGGCGTAGTTCTAGGTTCTCCAAGCCCAAAATTTCGAGTCTGGTGGCATAAGGGATTCTGTTGTGAGCAGAGGAGTGGAGGACTCTTCTCGTGAAATACCTCTGGACTAACTCAGTTGTGTTAATGTCCGATATACAGTGCGGGTGCCAGGCAGATGAGCTGTATTCAAGAATTGATACATGGAGAATTTGTACATGGAAAAGACCATAGGAAACTGGACAAAGAGGTGCTACCAAGGGAACAGTCACATAAAAGACAACATAGCTGGGAACTGAATAGTGGAGAGGACAAAAGGGTCAGAAGAGACCTTCCCTACTTTACTGAGCTGGGGGAATTAGAAAGAATTGTAGTTTCAGATTAGCCAAGATGCTCCCATGGTCATGTGGCAAGCATGACTATGCACCAAGGCCCACGGAACACTGTAAACCTCCCACCGAAGTGGTATCTATTCATCTACAAATAGTCCTTGACTTACAACAGTTTATTTAGTGACCATTTGAAGTGACCACAGCATTGAAAAAGGACCATTTTTCACACTTATGACCGTTGCAGCATGCCCATGGTCACGGGATTTACATTCGGATGCTTGACAACTGACTCACATTTATGACAGTCGTAGTGTCCCGGAGTCATGTGATCCTGTTTTGCAACCTTCCGACATGCAAAGTCAGTGGGGAAACTAGATTCACTTAACAACGGTGTTACTAATTTTAACAACTGCGGCGATTCACTTAATGAATGGGGCAAGAAAAGTGGTAAATGGAACAAAACTGTTATTAACATCTGCTGCTTGCAATTACTACAAGTTCAAATCTCACCAGGCTCAAGGTTGACTCAGCCTTCCATCCTTTCAAAGGTAGGTAAAATGAGGACCCAGATTGTAGGGGCAATAAGCTGACTTTGTATAAATATACAAAAGTATGAAGGCTATTGCTTAACGCATTGTAAGCCGCCCTGAGTCTCCGGAGAAGGTCGGCATATAAATTAAAGCAAAAAAAAAAAAAACCAAACCTCACTTAACAAATTGTCACTTAAGAAGATAAATTTTGGGCTCAACTGTACCCGTACGTTGAGGACTTCCTGTACTCGCATTTGCACATTTTTGAACTGCTAGGTTAGCAGGAGTTGAGACAAATAATGGGAGCTCACCCGATCATGACTGCTTAGAGAGGGCTGTAAAGCACTGTGAAGTGGTATATAAGTCTAAGTGCTATTCAGTAGTGGGATTCAAATCCTGGCGCTACAGGTTCGCTATCGGTTCTGTGCCTGCGCAGACCATTTTTGATGATGTCTGGGTGGGTGGGCGGAGCCTCCTGCCGCTACCGATTTGCCCGAACCGGGGCAAACTGGTAGCAACCCACTACTGGTGCTATTGCTATGAGGTAATATTGGATCTTGAACTGCCAACTTTCCAGTCAACAAGCCCAGGTTTTAACTGCTAGGGCATCCACATCCCGTTTTTCTTGCTTAGGTTTAATCCATTGGCAGTTGGGTGCGGTCTATTATAAACACCTGTCTATTAGATACTACTTATTGATAGTACTTCATTACAAACAGATACAAGGCCTTTCATAGAATTGAATATTGTGACATAAGTTGTTTTTAACCGCACGGCTGTTGACTGAACACAGCTTTAATTTTAGCAAAGTAAGCATTGCTGGGATGATAATGTCCGATTGTCACAAAGGGATTCAACTTGAAAAAGTCAACACAAATATTAAAAAAAGCAAAGGTGTGTTGGTTTTCTCTAATGATGCATTCTGGAGAACACCAGAGCTCATATCTTATTTTCCAACTTTATTTTTTTTAAAAAAATAAAACGATTATCTAAATATGGAATTTGGAAACCTACATAAAAATTAGCTAGTTGTTTGATATTCCTCTACATAACTGACACTAGATACATTACACTCTCTGGGGTCAATTCTAATATGTATGTATGTATGTATGTATGTATGTATGTATGTATGTATTTATTTATTTATTTATTTATTTATTGGTTCAATTTATATGCCGCCCTTCTCCGGAGACTCAGGGCGGCTTACAATGCGTTAAGCAATAGCCTTCATACTTTTGTATATACCTGCTTAGTAGGGCTTTCGCCTCCCCCTAAGTGGTTTTTTTTTTTAATACAAAGTCAGCTTATTGCCCCCACAATCCAGGTCCTCATTTTACCTACCTTAGAAAGGATGGAAGGCGGAGTCAACCTTGAGCCTGGTGAGATTTGAACTTGCAGTAATTGCAGGCAGCTGGCAGCTAAGTGCTACTTAATAGCACTTTAGTCCACTGCACCACCAAGGCTTTTGCTGCTTAATATTGCTGCTTATGAGCAAATGGAATGAAAAATTTGGACCCTCTAACCAAGGCACAGGAGCTATTTTATCACCCTGGGGGGAAAAAAAGCCATAAACTTACGATTATTCAGAGACAGTATCTGATTTCAGTCCTCAACCTCACCTTTTTGTTTTCTTATATATTATTTTTCCTTGTAACCTAATAAAGTTTTATTTTAAAAAAGATAATGCAAGCACACTGTTTTCAGGAAAATATTAATGGAATGAAGCAATGTTAGTCCATCTCATTTCTCTAAAGAGTTTTCTTTCCTAAAGCGGTCTGTCCTTCATTAGGTTGCTGTGCAAATAAAAAGAGGAATCTTGAGAAGAGTGGGATAAAATTGCAATAGCCAACAAAGAATCCCGCTGATTTCCCCCGTTCCCCCATCTTGTGAACATCTGTTCTGGGTGACATGTATTTTTGTTGAAGTTTTGCATCAAAGTGCTGACCTTTAACATCGTTTTCCTCAGTCTAAACTATGCAGTGTGCAGAAAGGTAAAGGTTCCCCTCGTATATATGCGCTAGTCGCTCCTGACTCTAGGGGGCGGTGCTCATCTCCATTTCAAAGCTGAAGAGCCAGCGCTGTCCGAAGACGTCTCTCCGTGGTCATGTGGCCGGCATGACTAAACGCCAAAGTCGCATGGAACACTGTTACCTTCCCACCAAAGGTGGTCCCTATTTTTCTACTTGTATTTTTTACGTGCTTTCAAATTGTTAGGTTGGCAGAAACTGGGACAAATAACGGGAGCTCACCCCATTATGCGGCACTAGGGATTCGAACCGCTGAACTGCCAACCTTTCAATCGACAAGCTCAGTGTCTTAGCCACTGAGCCACTGTGTCCCTTGATGCAGTGTGCATAGTGTAATGCAGATGACCATATTTATAAACGAGTAAAATGGCTCTTGGACTTTTCCTAGCTAATCTGATTCCCTCTTCCATACAATTCAATGTTACCGCATTTCCTTCTAGACTAGAGGCTGGCTGGGGAATTCTTGGAGTTGAACTCAACACAGTTTAAAGTTGCTTAGATTGAGAAACACTGTTCTAGACAGAATAATGGCTCCCAAGCTTTTGACTTTTTGTATCTAAAGGTTATTATTATTATTTTTTTTTTAAATTTGATTTATATGCCGCCCTTCTCCGGAGACTCAGGGCGGCTTACAGTGCGTTAAGCAATAGCCTTCATACTTTTGTATATTTATACAAAGTCAGCTTATTGCCCCCACAAACTGGGTCCTCATTTAACCTACCTTAGAAAGGATGGAAGGCTGAGTCAACCTTGAGCCTTGGAGAGATTCGAACCAGCAGTAAATTGCAGGCAGCTGTGTTAATAACAGGGTGCTTTAAACCACTGTAGTACCAAGGCTCTTATTTAACCTCTACATACATGAACATGTTGTCAGAGCTCTCCATGTCTCCAGAAACAATGAAGAAAAAAAGCCGCCATCAACAAAAGTTCAGAACGCGTATTTTCCCAGCGGCAGGGCAAAATGCACTTTCCTTAATGAGAAGCGCTAAACCAGTTCAATGAATTTATACAAAATATGATGGTTGGTATGGTTATGCAATGGGGCGTGGTGGCTCAGTGGCTAAGATGCTGAGCTAGTCGATCTAAAGGTTGGCAATTCAGCGGTTCGAATCCCTAGTGCCACATAATGGGGTAAGCTCCTGTTCCTTGGTGGGTTGGTGGGTTTCAGCAGGTTCTGACCAGTTCTGGAGAACCGGTAGCGGAAATTTTGAGTAGTTTGGAGAACAGGTAGTAAAAATTCTGACTGGCCCCACCCACATCTATTCCCTGCCTCCCAAGTCCCAGCTGATCGGGAGAAAATGGGGATTTTTCAGTATCCTTCCCCTGCAGTGGGGTGGGAATGGAGATTTTACAGCATCTTTTCTCTGACATGCCCACCAAGCCATGCCACGCCCACCAAGTCAGGCCCACAGAACCGGTAGAACCCACCACTGGCTCCATGTGTCTCTACTTTTTGCCTCTAGCACTGCCTGCCTCCGATGTACTTAAATTAGAATAAAATTATCCAAAAGATGAGAAAACATTAACATAGCTATATAGCTGTAATCTGATCTTTTCCCGTATTATTCGCATTTCTGTGGAGAGCCCATGTTCTCTGCCTCTCTAGACTGAAAGTCTTCAGGCGGATCACCAGGGGAGGAGAATCAAGAGAAACGCCCGACGAACTCCGGGGTATCATCTAATCGTTCGCGGTTTTACCGAGATCGTAGCCTTCTCGTGCGAACGACGACCTTGTGCGCCGTTCACAATCGGGGCCAAAAGCTGCCCTCAAAACTGGAGATGGGGTGAGAACCTCAGGTACCTCCTGGGAAAATCCGGGAAGTTTCGCTTCAGTTTGGGGCTGCGATTCACCAGAGGTCCGCTAGATGGCAGAGCGGAGCTGAAAGGGAGGAGGGGATGAACCGGTTGCGCCATCAGCCACGACAAGAGACTACATAATGAAACCCGTTGCCTGGCGGTTTCCTCAGTGGGGCAAAAAAAAAAAAAAAAAAAAAGTCAGATCAGCCTCTCCAACTTTCCGCGAGTCATTCCCGGAAGCTGTTCTCGGGGAGCGGTTTGGACTCTCCTGCTCCGCACTGGGGGGAAAGCGAGGAGTTTAGGCAAGAGCCCTGCGCGTTTCTTCCCTTTTTTTTTGCAACGCAGTTTTTCTCTCCGACCGGCGCCGTTTCTCCAGCGGAAGATCGCGGGGGAGAGAAGCGCGCTTTCCTCCCGCAGAGCATCCTGAGCGGCGGAGAGAAAACGCGACGGAGCTGGGAAGCAGGTTTGATTTAGGAGCTCCGTCTTGCTGTTTGGAAACGCTCGTGGTCCGATCCACGGCATAGTAATGGCGTATCTCTCCGCTCCAGTTTCTTCAGTAAACCCCCGTGGCTTGTTTTGGTGTCCTACCCAGAACCCAACTCACAAACCACAAGGTGGAGGGGTCAATCTAGGCCAGCCATACCATGGTTGTGTGCACAATCCTGGCTTGACCCGCAGCATGGTCTTGTGTGTTTCCTCTGCTCTAGTTTCTTCAGTAAACCATGGTTGGTTGGTTGGTTGATTAGTTGGTTTGGTTGGATGGTTATGTTTTGTTTGTTTGGTTGGTTGGTTGGTTTGTTTGGTTGATTGGTTGGTTTGGGTTGTTTGGTTGGTTTGGGTTGGTTGGTTGGTTTGGGTTGGTTGGTTGGTTTAGTTTGGTTGGTTTGGGTTGGTTGGTTGGTTGGGTTGGGTTGGTAGGATGGGTGGTTGGTTGGTTTGGTTTGGGTTGGTTGGTTTGGGTTGGTTGATTGTTTGGTTTGGGTTGTTTGGTTGGTTTGGTTGGTTGGTTGGGTTTGGTTGGTTGGTTGTTTGTTTGTTTGTTTGGTTTGGTTTGGTTGGTTTGGGTTGTTTGGATGGTTGGGTTGGTAGGGTGGGTGGGTGGTTTGGGTAGTTTGGTTTGGGTTGGTTGATTGTTTGGGTTGGTTGGTTGTTTGGTTTGGTTGTTTGGTTGTTTGGTTTGGTTGGGTTGGGTTGGTTGGTTGGTTTGGGTTGGTTGTTTGGTTGTTTGGTTGGTTGTTTGGTTGGTTTGGTTTGGGTTGGTTGGCTGGTTGGGTTGGGTTGGTAGGGTGGGTAGGTGGTTGGTTTGGTTTGGGTTATTTGGTTTGGGTTGGTTGATTGTTTGGTTTGGGTTGGTTGTTTGGTTGTTTGGTTTGGTTGTTTGGTTGGGTGGTTTGGGTTGGTTTGGGATGGGATGGGATGGGTTGGGTTGGGTTGGTAGGTTGGGTGAGTGGGTGGGTGGGTTGGGTCGGGTTAGTAGGTTGGTTGGTTGGTTTGGTGTCACACCCAGAACCCCACACCCCAAACCTCATGGTAGAGGGTGAACCTCATGGTGGAGATCATACTATGGTTCTTGCAGGAGTAAACTCGGCCAATGGCTAGATCAGCTAGAAGGTGTGTGTAAGCGATGATCCACATCTCTGTCTCTTTCCTTCTCCTTCAGTTGCTGCTGTGTGATTCAGGATGGGATCGAAACTCTCTGTGGATGATTCTGTCCGTGTCGTCATAGTTGGAGGCGGCTTCGGAGGGATGGAAGCTGCCCGCCTCCTGCAGGAATGGGGGATCCCCTTCATCTTGGTGGACATGAGAGATTCCTTCCATCACAATGTGGCTGCTCTGCGGGCTTCTGTACAGTATGGTAACTTTTTGTGTTGGGATTTCCTTCATTTCTCTTGAGCTGTCTTTCCCCCAACTTGGGACTTATCTGGATATATTGAATTATAACCTGCTTTGATTCTAATATGTTTGTAACTGCAGAGATCTGGAAGACACCAGCTGGTGAAAAGTTTGTTTTAGGAATAGTTGGATAATCTCCGGCTTCTTGGGATTGATTTGATGGTTCTCCAAATGTTGGGAAAAACAAATAAAATATCAGGGCAAATTAAAATAGGAAAGGTCCATTTATTTGTGTAGATTGGACCAGCGGTTCTAAAACTGGAATACTTATACCACTAGTAGGACTCAGAAGAAGTTACCTAGGTGGGACACGTTAATCATTTACTCTGGTTTTATTTATGCCTTGAAAGCTTAGCATAAATGTGCAAATATTGCAGATACATTTCTCATTAATATTGTTTGCTGTTATTACCAGACATTAATTGATGAGGTTTAAGATATGAAAATTTGAGAACCTGTAAACTTTAGATGTGTTAAAAGTTTTCTGTAGGTTCCTGACTCCTTGGTCTTTATGTACAATTAATTGATTCAATTTTCGATGCATAATTTTGTAGGATTTGCAAAAAAGACCTTTATCTCCTTCTCTGAGACCTTCAAAGAGAGTTTCCAGCAGGGAAAAGTAGTTGGGATTGATTTGGAGAAACATCAAGTCCTACTGAACGATGGTAAAGTGAGTGCCTCTAAATTAAATGCATTAATTGTGAAAGAGTACACAACTGCAGCTTCATTCTAATATTCTTTCTTAGGTGCTTTCATTTTCTCACCTGATCCTGGCCACCGGGAGTGAAGGGCCTTTTCCTGGGAAGTTTAATGAACTTGTTAATATGGAGATGGCTATTCAGGCTTATGAGAACATGGTCAAGGAGGTGGGTATGATTGGTAGAAGTGAAAGGAGTGTCCTTTGCTTACTTTTGTTTTCCTGTGAAGTGTGTATTAGTAAATTTCTTGGTAGGGACCATCTGTGGCTGGTTTATGGTATTTATATAATGCCTATTATTCATTCCAATAATTTTTTGGTTTAGGAATATATTTTTAAAAATATGACTTGGGCTTACAAATTAGCCAACTCATCACATTTGCCAGGCAGATAAGAATCTTGGCCTGTGGTTAAGATTGCTAACATATTAGTAATATTATTACTGCTACTATTATAAGAAGTTTAACTGGTCTTCTGCCCACCTCACTTGGAAATCTGCCCTTTTTTCCATCGGTTTATAAAATATCCTTTCCTGTTCTCAAAACAGCCTTTTTAGTGGCATCCATAAAAAAGGATTAGAAATAGGATTTTTTTTTTAAAGTGGGAGCATTACTTTGATGACTGAAGGTCACATAAAACATATTAATTGCATGGGAAAGAGAATGGTTACTTAAATTAATTACAATGTTTTTAATTACAATGTAATTACAATGTTTGCTAACTTGGAGATAAATTATTTTGAATGAATTGCAGGCTATTTCTCAATACATGTAGCAATGGTGGCTTCCTCCCGGTTCGGCCTGGTTCTCCCGAGCTGATAGCAGTGACGATATGATGTCACCGAACCGGTTCTGCCCCCCCCCGCGGCCCCCACCACCCCCTGCATTATTCTTACCTTTTATTTGGCCCCACCCCCAATCTATTGCTGCCTCCTGAGTCCCAGCTGATGGCTAGAGGGGAAAAAACTGTTTAAACTCTGGCCGCGGGGCTTCAAAGGGTCGCCCTACAGCTGATCAGTGTTAAAAGAAAACAAATGAGTAGACCAGTGCCTGCAAAAATACATGAGTAGATCAGTGCCTGCAAAAATAAATGGGTAGACCAGTGCCTGCAAAAAATAAATGGGTAGATCAGTACAGCTCTGCAAGTAGTTAAAAGTCTAGTAGACCAGTACCTCTGCTAAATCCTAAATAAATGTCACATGACCATCAAGCCACACCCACAAAATAAGCCACACCCACAGAACCGGTAGTAAAAAAATTTAGAACCCACCCCTGACATGTAGGTAGAACTATAGCAGAAGATTCTCTGTTGTTTCATAACAGAAGTCAAGAGTTCTGTAGTGCCTGAAATATTCTAGGAATTTAAACTGGGTAATGAAAATTCAGCTTAGAAAATATATATAATCATTCAATTCATGTAATCATAACTCTGAACTAGGGACATCAAACTAAAAAAAAAAAAAAAAGGTGACCGACCTAAATTTAATCTTGCATCATTATCCAGGGACATGTATATTTATCTTCAGTCGTAAAAAATAAAATAAAATACAGGTAGTCCTCAACTTACGACCATTCCTTTAGTGACCCTTCTGACTTGAAACATTAAAAAAAGTGACATGGCCATTTTTCACACTTACGACCGTTGCAGCATCCCCATGGTCACATGATCAAAATTCAGATGCCTGGCAACTGGTTCATATTTATGATGGTTGCAGTGTCCTGGGGTCATGGGATCAATTTCGCGACGTTTTGACAAGTCAATGGGGAAGCTGGATTCACTCAACAACCATGTTACTAATTTGAAAATGGCAGTGATGCACTTAACAACCGTAACAAATAGGGTCAAACAATAGAAATTTTGGGCTCAATTGTGGTTGCAAGTCGAGGACCACTTGTAAACTATACAAAATCCAAGAAAAGAAACAAAATCCAAAGCCAATATATCTAATTTTACTCAACCTGGAAAACTCGGTGAGGCTGAGGTTGAGAAATTGCCAGCCGGGCAGGAAGGAAGGGTCAAGCAAGGGCCTAGCTTGGTATTCCTTGTGCAGTCACAAGTGACCTAAGCTTGACCTCCTGCAAGGTCCATGAAGCCTTATCTGGCCATTTCCAGGGGAAGGCAAGGGGAGATTCTTGTAATAGAAGTGGTAGATTATTAATAGAGTTACTGACTTTCGTTATTCATGAGTGGCTCTGGTTGTTTGCAGCTGACAGTAATCTATTTAAGGTGCCTGAAATCACTGAGTTTTTATTCTGTGTGAGTACATTTAGGTTTATATCAGTGGTGAAATTCAAATTTTTTTACTACTGGTTCTGTGGGTGTGGCTTGGTGGGCATGGCGTGGCTTGGTGGGCATGGCAGGGGAAGAATATTGCAAAATCCCCATTCCCTCCCCACTCTTGGGGGAAGGATATTGCAAAATCCCCATTCCCTCTCCACTCCAGGGGCAAGGATATTGCAAAATCTCCATTCCCTCTCCACTCCAGGGGCAAGGATATTGCAAAATCTCCATTCCCACCCCACTCTGGGGCCAGCCAGAAGTGGTATTTGCTGGTTGTCTGAACTACTCAACATTTCTGCTACCGGTTCTCCAGAACCTGTCAGAACCTGCTAGATTTCACCCCTGCTTTATATCGTATCAGCATACTTCATTTATGCTGAAGATGCCACTTTGGTGTGTGGAAGTGAGGAAGACCAATTTTATTACTGACAAGCAGGGTGAAATATTAACCATCATATCAATTCCACTATTATCTCCAGTGTGACTATTGCCAGTTGGAGCCACTTTAAGATAGTCAAGATGTAAGTGTGACTACACAGAGACAGGTGTAATCTAATGCAATACGCCCCACCCCCTGTATTTGTTATATAGAGCATAATGCTTGCAGTTAGAATTTGTGAGAAAGCGCAGGTTAGACATATCCATTTGCCTTGGGATTTTTAGATCATGTGGTTGAACATAGAATAGATCATATATCCTGAATGAAGAAACAGACTTTTTGATCAGGGCTGCCAAGGATTTCTAAGTATCGGTTCTCTTTCTTAGTTAGAGAAAGTATCCCTATTGAAATAACTTCTCCAAAGTCATGTACCGTATTTTTCGGAGTATAAGATGCACCGGAGTATAAAACACAGCTTAGTTTTTGGGGAGGAAAATGGGGAGGGGGGAATCTTCCTACCAGGTATTCATCTGGCTAGCGTCCTTAGTCTGGTCAGCTTCAGCACATTAGTTTGCTGGTTTTTATTCCCTTGCTTGGGGATAAAAAAACAGCTTCTAAAGCACAGCTGATCTTTGGAGAGAGAAGCAATGAGAAAAGCAGGCAAACCACAGAGATTGCTTCACTCATTAGCGCCTCGTTAGGGCTGAAAAAAAGCTGAAGCACAGCTGAAAGTCGGAGGGAGCAGGCAAAGCCCGGAAGATAACTTCACTTGCTTCACTCACTAGAACCTAGTTGGGGCTGAAAAAAAGCTTCGAAAAAGCTACATTTGGAGTATAAGATGCACCCAAATTTTCAGCCTCTTTTAGGGGGGGAAAAGTGCGTCTTATACTCCAAAAAATACGGGTATGTATTATCTGAAGTAATGGAATCCTGAACAATATAACTCCATCTTGTTTTTTTTTCCTTTGGGTCTTAAAAGTTGGAAAAAGCTGAGCGGGTGGTAATCGTAGGTGGCGGATCTGCTGGGGTTGAAATGGCTGCAGAAGTTAAGACGACATATCCTAACAAAGAGGTACGAAGTAACATCCTGTCACTCAGTCACTGTTATTGTTTTGAAAGTTAAAATTCCTTGTTATCCAGAGTCAACAGAGACTAAATGATCAGCTACAAATTCTTGAGTTGACAAAAAAATGGAATAGATTGGATGCATTTTTGAGATACTGCCAAATATCATACATGTATGAATTATATCAATTCAGTTTCTAAAGCTTCTCGACTTTTATAAAATCTTAGAATCTGTAATTTGGTATCCAATTGTGCTTGTCTGGAAATCTCTGTGGAGGCTAAATTTGTCTTTACATGTGAACTGCATGTGGTGTAAATGCCTTGTCAGAGCTTCAAAGGTTTGGGAAAATATACGGGAGAAAGCTGTGGGGGGGCAGCTATGTTGCCTGATCCAATTTGGGTTTTTTAGAATGTGAGAGGAGTGTAGTTTTATTTATATTTCAAATTTAGAGTCCACCCATTTCATTCACAGAGCAACTCTGAGCAGTATATAGTTCAAATCATAAAAACCATATAAAAGTCATTTTTCAATAGGAGGCCCTTAAGACAAGAATAGAATACTTGTTATTCTATTAAAATAGAAGAGAGAGCCTTGATAGTACAGTGGTTTAGTGCACCCTGTTATTAACACAGCTGCCTGCAATTTCTGCTGGTTCGAATCTCTCCAAGGCTCAAGGTTGACTCAGCCTTCCATCCTTTCTAAGGTAGGTGAAATGAGGACCCAGTTTGTGGGGGCAATAAGCTGACTTTGTATAAAATATACAAAAGAATGAAGGCTATTGCTTAGCACATTGTAAGCCGCCCTGAGTCTCCGGAGAAGGGCGGCATATAAATCAAATTAAAATAAATAAATAAATAAATAAAAAAATAACAAGAGTTGAAAAAGGGTTTTGACAGAATTGGAAGGGACCTTGTATGTCATCTAGCCTAACCACACACCCCGAAGCAGGAGACCTTACACCATTTCTGATAGATGGCAGTTTAGTCTCTTCTTGAAAGCCTCCAGTGATGAAGCTCCCACAACTTCTGAAGGCAACTTCTGTTCCATTGGTTGATTGCTCTCACTGTCAGAAAATTTCTCCTTATTTCCAGGTTGAATCTCTCCTTGTTCAGTTTCCATCCATTGTTCCTTGTCTGGCCTTCAGGTGCCTTGAAAAATAGCTTGACCCCTTCCTCTCTGTGGCAGCCCCTCAGATATTGGAACACTGCCATCATGTCTCCCCTGGTCCTTCTCTTCTCCTCAGTAGACTAGTCAGGCCCAGTTCCTGCAACCGTTCATTCTATGCTTTAGCCTCCAGTCCCCTAATCATCCTGGTTGCTCTTCTCTGCACTCTTTCTAGAGTCTCAACATCTTTTTTTATAGTGTGGTGACCAAAACTGGATGCAGTATTCTAGGTGGTTGAGTGGTCTTCAAGGCAGGAGCCAATCCCAAGGTTGTGTGTGGAGCCCCATGTGATTCAGCAGAGCTAGGTCTCCAAACTCTTCCAAAAGACCAGGAGAGTGGGAGGGAGGCTGCTTCTTTTTTGGGGTGGGGAGTGTATTCCCAAAGGGTGGGAATGACAGGCGAGAAGGCTGTCTTCCTACCCCCTTACTGTACTTCAACACCGTCTCACTATTTATTTACCAAACACTGACAACCAATTGTATTGTCATTTTTTCAAGCAGCAAGCCACCTGAAAAGAGTGATCAGTAAAGACTAGGATAAAGTAGTTGACAAAAGCAAAAAACCGAGGCTGATTTGTGTTTAAAACTTGTGAATGCTTTTATCTGTACTTTGTTTTGGAATGGATAAATTTTCTGTGAACTCTCTTCCCTTTCAAATGTCTGGCTTGATAGATACATGCTATTCTTTAGGTGTCTGCATGCAACAATTTCTCTTCATTATTAGCCAAAAATATTTGGTAATAAATACCAAAGACATAGTTTGCAATGTTGTCAGAACTTTCTTGCTTACTTTCAGACTTTTTGGAAACATCTGGTCAATGTAGAATAACAATAATTATTTCATGTGTTCTAGCTACCTTCTTCTTCTCCTTCTTCTCCTTCTTCTCCTTCTTCTCCTTCTTCTCCTTCTCCTTCTCCTTCTCCTTCTCCTTCTCCTTCTTCTTCTCTGATTACGGTCCTCAGCATGCCACCCAAGAGAGAAGTCTTAAAAAATATAGCTCCCCATATTTTAGGAGAGTTCTACCAGACTTACTTTCAAGTAAAAATTTGTAGGACTGGAGGCTAAAACTTAATAGATGTGAATGCTAATGTCCATTTTTCCTGCTATCCACTTTGCTAATTATTAGTGTAATTCTTGTGAGTAAACTGAATTATAAAGGGACCTGAATAAAGCTTCTTATGTAAGGCAGAAACATCCAATCCATTGTCTTTTTTGACTATTGGAATTTCTGGCCCGTAACATTTAAGCTTCATCTCTTTACCAAAATGTTGCAGAATTTGATGGACATCTGAATTTAGCTTCAGGAAAAACACTAGCCGCCTCACAGTGAAGTTACACCACGGCATCTGGAAAATTACCGTACATGGCTTTCAATGGCAAAAAAAGGATCTACATAGTTGGCTGCGGAATTCTAGAAGTTGAAATCCAAACGTTTTTAAAGTTGCCAAGGTTGGCACCCCTGATCTACAATAATCTTGCAATATGGCAATGGGATGTTTGCTAAATAAATTTCACCAACTTGAACATATTAATATTTATGTTCTCAGGTCACACTTATTCATTCAAAAATGGCATTGGCAGATGACGGACTTCTTCCCAGAGTCAGGGAGGCAGTGAAGGAGACTCTTACACAGGAAGGAGTGCATCTCTTGTTGGGTATAGAATTTTGTTATTGGTCTAACATTTTTTTCAACGTCACTAAACCCTAAAGATGGCCTTTTCCAGGGATAGGGAACCTACATCAAGGTTGCCTGTCGCTGGAGGCTTTGATTTTTGCTGTGCATTTAAAGGGATATATACTGTATTTGGCCTAAAAGAACGTATCACTGACAGATTACCAGGGATTAGAGGCAGATTTATTTGACATTTTAAAAATTCTACTTTTAATACCTTGGTGAGATTAAAAAGAAAATAAACGTTTTGAGCCAAGGTTGAAATCTATCAGGTTCTGACAGGTTCTGACAGGTTCTGGAGAACCGGTAGCGGAAATTTTGAGCAGATCGGAGAACCGGTAGCGGAAATTTTGAGCAGTTCGGAGAACCGGTAGCGGAAATTCTGAGTAGTTCGGAGAACCGGTAGCGGAAATTTTGAGCAGTTCGGAGAACCGGTATCGGAAATTTTGAGCAGTTCGGAGAACCGGTAGCGGAAATTTTGAGCAGTTCGGAGAACCGGTAGCGGAAATTTTGAACAGTTCGGAGAAATGGTAGTGGAAATTTTGAGCAGTTTGGAGAACTGGTAGCGGAAATTTTGAGTAGTTCGGAGAACCGGCAAATGCCACCTCTGGCTGGAGATTTTGCAATATCCTTCCCCCAGGAGTGAGGAGGAATGCGGATTTTTCAGTAACCTTCCCCTGGAGTGGGGTGGGAATGGAGATTTTTCAGTATCCTTCCCCTGCCACACCCACCAAGCCACGCCCACAGAACCAGTAGTAAAAAAATTGGGATTTCACCACTGCTTTGAGCCTAAAGGCATAAAAAAAGACACGGGGCATACAAACAATATAGCTTGCACGTTATTGTCTACCTAAGATAGGATCTAGATATTTCTAGGCACATTAGTCAAACGTAATTACTGTAACTACTGTAGTGTGTTTAATGCGTTTGCTGCTGTACGTTTTATAGATTTGTAAGTTTATAGACTTGTAGGTCCATCTTCAAATCGAGGCATGTAATGTTTTCTGCATGATGAAAAATATCTCTTTTTAAAACTGGCCTGTACACGTTAGATGTTAAAGACCGGTTGGCAGTTCCATTTCATAAGGATTGTGGGAGCCCAGGAAGAGATAAAAGTTCTTTAAGGAGTAGCAATGGCTATAATGTGCATGCTTGCACATGCTCTGAATACTTTTTCCCTGTTGAATTTCAATAACTGTACAGTCATTAGATGTCCTAGTAAACTGCCTTTACATTGATTTTTTTTTTTTCCAGGCGAAGTACTGTAAATTAGAAGGGCCATAGAACTGATTCGTTTTCCCTTTTTTCCCAATTTCATGACATTTATGCCCTCTTCTGCCTTTGATGATACATCAGGAAGATCAAATAGGGTACAGGTAGTCCTTGATTTAAAACAGTTCCCTTGGTGAGTGGTTCAGCGTTAAGAATGGCGCAGCAGACTAAAGTGCTGTTAAGTAGCACTAGCTGCCTGCAATTACTACAAGTTCAAATCTCACCAGGCTCAAGGTTGACTCAGTCTTCCATCCTTTTGAGGTAGGTAAAATGAGGACCCGGATTGTGGGGGCAATAAGCTGACTTTGTATAAAAAAGAACACCACTTAGGGAGGGGCCAAAAGCAGGTATATACAAAAGTATGAAGGCTATTGCTTAACGCATTGTAAGCTGCCCCGAGTCTCCGGAGAAGGGCGGCATATAAATTGAATCAATCAATCAATCAATCAATCAATCAATCAATCAATAAGAATGGCATCATGTTTTGCGATCTTCTGCAAGCAAAGTGGGGAAGCCAGACTCACTTAATTGCAGGAATTCACTTTAACGACTGTGGCCAGAAAGTTCATAAAACGGGCCAAAATGGGCATAATGGCTTCCTTGCTTAGCAAGAGTTTGGGATTCAATTGTGGCTGTAAATCGAGGATTACCTGTAGTAGATAGCCCTGGATTCAAAACTTTCTCAGTTTTTTCATGATCACCTTTTTTCTTGCTTTGTCTAAGGCCAACAGAACTCATAATTGGCAATGCCTTGCCATCTACTTTTGCCATCCTAACAGGATAATCTAATCCACTGCTTTAATTTGAAGTGCATCAGTAAAGCTGCTTGTTATATTTTGCATGAGTGAAGAGAAACAAATTGCTTTGCTTTATAATCAGGAGAGACAGACAGCATTAAAGGATGGAAAGCTGACTGTTTTTAATTAATAGAGAATTAAAATTAATCAACAAGCTCTTAAGTAATATCTTAAAGCCGAAGTGGGTATTATACCTTCAAAGTTCAGTGAAATGCAATGTCTGCTTTTTGGTTCCCCTAATAGATCAGAGAGTTTCTAATCTCCATATGCTATATTTTAACCAATTCAAGGAGAACATGATGGTGGAGACTGATAAAGGTACAGAGGTTATTGCAGATCTGGTGATTCTGTGCACTGGAATAAAAATAAACTCTTCAGCATATAGCAGCGCATTCAGTAAGTTAATTTCCCCTTACCCTTATTCTGTCCACAAATTTCTTAATTTATGCAGTTTCCACATTCTATATTTCAAATCCTAGTTCTCATTCATCAATACTTCAGTAATTTTTAAAAATCTTTAATTTTAATACTGCAACCTTTTTAAACAAAGTTTGAAGAATATTCATAGGGTTGGCTCTTTCATGAAATAAGTAAGTTTTTTCATCACAGATATGTATGACATGGCAATATTATATGCACGTAGCTTGGTGTTAAATGCAATAAGGTTTAAGAGCCAGTTTGGTGTTGTGGTTAAGGCACCAAGCAGGAAAGCAAGAGACCAGGAGTTCAAGTTCCACTTTAGTCAGCTGGTTAAACATTCTCTCAGGATAAAAGAGGAGGAAGGTATTGGATGTTTGCCGCTTTGAGTTATTTGTACAAATAATAAAAAGCGGGATGCAAATAAATAAAAGCATTTACTTGAGCAGATGTATGTATGTATGTATGTATCTATGTATGATGCATGGTCGTAGGGTATAAAACAAGCATGGTGATCTTTGTTTAAATAGCTGTGATTGTGATTCATGATCCAACCCATTTTTCAAAATTGAGGCTTCCATCGAATAAAGTAGGCAAACATAAAATAACCGCCATAACCATTTTATGTGTATCTCAGGCTTCCTTTTGTTTGGAATACAAATAGGGTATTTTTTTAATACTACAAAATCAAAAGAACGATGACCCATGCAATACCAGTACATGTAGCTTTTTGCTAGCCTTTGACATTCATAGATGATTTCCTTGTGTCCATGCTTAGGAGACCAGCTGGCAAATAATGGTGCTTTGAAAGTGAATGACCACCTTCAGGTTGTGGGATATGACAACATCTATGCCATTGGTGACTGCACAGATGTGAAAGAACCAAAGTTGGCATATCATGCTCAGCTCCATGCAAACGTTGTGGTGACCAATATTATCAACAGCCTGACTCAGAAGCCTCTGAAAACCTATAAACCAGGTCAGACTATGAATTACATCTTTAGTGCCTTTCTGAAGTGTACATCCTTAACTAAAATGCAACAAGTATTTCCCCGTATCTAAATCTAAATCCAATTCTAATAGTATTTTGAAGCTAATATCGCAGACAGATAATTAGATCTGGTACACTCTTGTGTTGTTGTTTTGTACAATATTTTTTTTCAATCTGTTTCCTAATCAGGATGGATGTTGTATTGGAAAATAGAATAATCAATACGTAAACCAATTGCTGGCATGGATTAGTATACTCTACAGTGTTTTACTCAGTATTTATATAACAGCACTGCTATTTACTGAAATACTCAATTATAAATAGCATGTAGCAATTTTTTTTTAAAAAAGCAACATGCTCCCTGGAAATACCTTCTAAGTTTCTAAAGAGAAAATTAAAATAATTAATACAAACACTAAAGTAATACAAGTACTGTTGGTGCTTCAGTCTAATATTAGGAGCCCTGGTGGCGCAGCAGACTAAAGCACTGTTATTATCATCAGCTGCCTGCAATTACTGCAAGTTCAAATCTCACCAGGCTCAAGGTTGACTCAGCCTTCCTTTCTAAGGTAGGTAAAATGAGGACCCAGACTGGGGGCAATAAGCTGACTTTGTATAAATATACAAAAGTATGAAGACTATTGCTTAACGCATTGTAAGCCGCCCTGAGTCTCCTGAGAAGGGCGGCATATAAATCAAACCAATATATATATAAATTAGGCTTGATTAATACTTTTCAGGAAATTACACAAGCTTTCCAACTGTGGAAACTGAGTTACTATAGCCAAATATACTCTGGCGAGTCCAGATGCCGAGACAGATAACAATTTTGTTTCTTCTTTTGTAAATAATCTTGTGATTCCTCTTTAGGATCGCTTACCTTCCTGATCTCCCTGGGAAGTAATGATGGAGTGGGACAAATCAATGAATACTATGTAGGACATCTTTTAGTGACTGTTCTCAAAAGTAAAGATCTTTTCATTTCAAAAAGTTGGAAGAAGATGCATCAGCACATGCCATGCTAGAAAAGGAACTGCTATAAACAAAAACAGAACTGATGATACCTGTGATGAATTAGTAATGTGTATTTTGCCTCTATTAAATCATAATTACCTTTAGGAAACTAAGCGTAAAACCTAGATTGTATCAGTAGACCTTGGCAGAAACTGTATTTCACATTAGACTTTGGAGTTGGTTTGTATGTTGTTAATTAGCTAACATGGATATGGTAAAATTGATATGAATTAAATTTTGAATGGAAGAATTGATTATCATGCAAGTGTAGAACTCAAAACAAAGTTTAGGCTCAGAATTTTTCAGTCCCAGATATATTTACACAGTGCACACATATTGGTGTGCTATGGCCTGTATAAGCACTCTTAAATGTTCTTTAGCACTTTAATTCAAATGCTTATGGGAAAAGAGTTAATGATGGGAAAAATACCTGTGCCCTTAAGGTTGAGGAAAAAATAGAGCTGTAACTAGCACTGAATATACTATTAAGGGCCTCCCTGTGCTAAACCAGTATTCTGTACAATAGTATTTAATTGTCCTTCCTTCCTTCCCTTCCAGTCCTTTCCTCTCCATCATTTATTCTTGCAAGATTCTCTAATATTTGCTTGTACTAGTAAAGTTGAAGAGACCAAAGCCAGTCTTGCAGAGCTCCCCCTTCCTTTGGTAAATACTAATTCCAATGTTGAATTTGAGAATATTAACAGAACCGCCGTCTTCTTCCAAGAAACGTCTTACTTCTGAAGCCACTTTAAATTTTTATGGAAACGAACAAGAATAATATGCTCAAGGTTAAAGTTTTAAAAAAGCATGATGCTATTTTTTTTATCAAAACAAATAAGATGAAATATTTTTCAGCAATTACAGGTCATTCTGGGATAAAACAGTAAAGCACCAAGTGAGTCAAAATTATCTTCTCCATCATGGAACATAGACACAACATAAAGATTTCTAACTACCAGTGGGAAAATAAAGGGAAGCAAACAATCCACATTTTTCAATTGATGGATGCACTGAATTGTTTGCTACTCTATAATGAGATTATTTTTTTTTTAAAAAAAGGTCTAAACTAAAATAACTTGAGACATTAAAATGTAGTGAACTGGGAAAATAATTTCTTGGGGAAGATACAAAATGTAGAGGGCCTAAAGCATGATATATCTGCAGCTCAAACTCTCTCAAACAATTCCCCCCTTTCTCCCTCAATAACAAAAGCCCTCCACCCATCACAAAACTTCAAAGCTACTCACATATTCCGTCCTCACAATATTTTAAAAATAAAACCCACTTCTAATTCCCATTCCTACTCATATTCATGTTGAAAAATAAATTTTCATTTGGCTTCTGTTACTACTTTGCGTCTAGTTTTGCCATCTCTTGCACATAGATGCCAATGCTCTCACTGTCAAAAAGCAGGAAGTAAATGTTCTTCAAGGAAGAAGGGCTGGAGTCATCAAAATGGGAAGAAATGGCTTTCAGAGTCACCTGGGCTGCAGTCTGTTTTGGAAAACAATTTCTAAACAAAGAAGGAAAGTTTGTAATTAATGTTCAGTAGCAAAACATTAAGTCTTAAATGTTATAACAATATATAATTGTTATATATTGTAAGTAAGTAACTAATAAGCTGAATCTTACTTGGGATACTCACTCTAGTTTTCCATAAATTTATTGGGCTCAATGCCAAGTAATGTACAGATTCATCCCTCTAGGGTAGATAATTTAAGGCAAAATTTCAGGCCATCCAAATGTAACAGCACTCAAAAGAAAGATGTTAGTGCGGACTGACTGGTAAAAAGCAGAGATGTTGGGAAAAAATGCTGGCAAATAATCCAGTCAATCCAGTCAAATATAAGGTGGGAAAATGGAAAATTGAGTTTAAGACAAGTAGATCAAAGTAATTATTGGTGCATGATAAAAAATAAAGGTTTCCCCTTTAAAGTCATGTCTGACTTTAGAGGGTGGTGCTCATCTCCGTTTCTTAGCCGAGGGAGCAGCGTTGTCCAAAGAGAGCTACATGGCCATGTGGCCAGCAAGACTATTTGCTGAGGTGCATGGAACACAGTTACCTTCCCACTAAGTGATACCTATTTATCTACTTGCATTTGCATGCTTTCAAACTGCTAGGTGGATAGGAACTGGGACAAGTAACAGGAATTTGCCCCGTTGTGAGGCACTTGAGTCTTGAACATGGGCTGTCAGTTTTCCAGCTGACAGGCTTAGTGTCTTTAACTGTTGAGCCACCACTTCGGAAAGGCAGATGCAATCAAAATAATGTGATCAAAAAGTTTCCATAAAATACTCCTACATGAGCCTATTGGGCCCCAAAGTTTCAAATACAAGATGAAACAAAGCAAACGTAGCAGTTGTTATGGTAATATGGTACCAAAAAAATCACCTACTAAATAGCTATATATCATGCAGTATAGGGATTTTACATGGTGTATGAGAGATTTATGCTGGCAAGCCTACCAGCTATTTCCTTAAATATGCCATAAAATGTTAATTTGTGCCAACAAACGTATGCCAATAGAAGATATCTGCAGTTTGGATGATAGTTCTTCCCTGGAAACCTCTGACGGCTGTTTTAAATATCACATACAAGACCATCCTAGACTGACATATATATTTCAATTAGATGTTATAAGACCAGGTGTTACCAGCTATTTTCTTAAATGTATCCCAAAAGGAATGTTCTTAAATGTATCTCAAAAGGAATGTACTAATTCTATTAAGAGATTTATATAGTAAATACCTGCCACTGGGAAAAGGTGGAAAAGCCACAGACTTCAGCTTCTTATCTTCAGCAGCAGTTAAACAGTTCTTTATTGTCTCCTCCAGTTGTTCTTCACATTTGTCTGAACCCCACTGTGGGATGTGACAGTGAATGACAAATTTTGCTGCTAGACCAGTAGCCTGACCGAGAGCAGCTGAAGGGGAAAAATGGGTCTATTACTTTTGGCAGAACTAGGTAATTTATATACTACTATATTTCTCTTTCCCATAACCTTCATTTGGGCATCACAGGACAAAAATTTTCAAACCAAGGTACCTCAAATAGGCTAATTTACAGAATGTATCCAAAATCTGGGAACCATCACTCCCATGAAATTGACAAATTGTATAAAACCTTTTATGACAAAATGGTCATAAAACAGTTTATGACATAATACAAAATGTCATAAAACATTTCCTGTGCTGAGGTTTGTGCTATCCAGTTCAACATGGGCTATTTTCAAAGCAGATCCACCTCTGAACGTACTTTTCCACTTCTCCAGGGAAGGCAGCACATTAGAAGTCCTGTCATTGTCAAAGGCATTGAGAAATCTGGTAAGGGAATATGTCTGAAAAGATGAGGCAACGAGGTTCATCTTTAAAGCATCACTATTACTTTTCCAGCAAAGCTTAAGATATGGAGCTGGACCCTTTGCCATTCAATTCCCCATCCTGCACTGACTTTTTCATCAGGAACATATTTATTCATTTAAAACATTTGGATGGCTGCCCAACTTAAAACCAAACTGAGTGGCTCATAACTAAAGAATAAAACTATATATATAAGCGATAAAAACATAAAAGCAATAACCCCTACCCCAAAACCCAGAAAAACTTGGTACTGTATTATAAGCATTTTTCCCAATGTACTCCACATTTTCCTCTCACTCCAACCTTACCACTTCCCAATCCTTTGGGGGGTGGGGGGGAGAGGAAAGCTGGCTCTTAAGTACTTTCCAGAAGGTTAATAGGATAGGAGGCTGCTAGAATTCCTTTGGATAAGAGTTGAAATGGAAAAGGCACATTCTAGGTCCCTCAAGAAGGCAACATTTAGAGGAAGAGACCTGAGTGTGCCTGTCTTATTCAACCTGCTGAGATGGGCTGACAGTCGGAGAGAGATAGTCCTGCAAATAAATGGGTTCTGGGCCACGTAGGACTTTAAAAATGATAAACGGCACCTTGAATTGCAGCCAGGAGTCGGTGCAGCTTGTGCAATGGGTGTAATGTGGTTTAAGAGCCAATACAGCTTGTGGTGTAATGCAAGTGAAATGTATGGGTGGTTGTGCACATTGCTGCATGAAAGATCAACAAGGCAAAGGTTGCTGATTTGGCTTCAATTTCTACTTTTTGGGTTAACTTTGGAATAGGGACTCCCATGCAACAGTGAAGAGAATTCTGCAATTTCAGAATTAGGAGTAAAGGCTGACACTTCTTGTACTTCCAGGATGGAGGCCCCATGTATAAATTAGGGATGCAGAATTTTTTTAAACCTTGCCTTCATGCTTTTCAAAGTGGAAAAGGAAGAACTATAAAATAAAAATAAATTGGCTTAATTGATTTTATCCTAGCCATCAAGCAAAATCACTCCATCATTGTTTATATAATAAGGGCTCTGACATTTCAGTTTGCCTATATGCTAATGCAACGGTCCCCAACTTGTTTGGCTTGGTGGCCCGGCGGGGTGGGGGGAGAGGGGATAGTTCCTTGTAAGTAGCAGGTATGCATGTGACAGCGTGTGCAGGTCCTTTTGCGTGAGTGTTGAGTACCTGCGCCCACCACTTATGCAAAGGAAGTTTTGCATGTGAGCAGAAGTGGCTGCCACTCACGCAAGGGGAGCTTTGTGTGCGAGCCCAATACGGCTGCCGCTTCTGTGGGGGCAGCTTTGTGCATGAGGGCAAGCAGCCACTGCTCGCGCAAGGGGAGCTTCGCATATGAGCAATGAGGGCAAGCAGCCGCCACTCGTATGAGGGGAGCTTTGTGCGCATGCATGCTGCCTGGTAGTGGGCCATGGTCCACGGGTTGGGGACCTTTGTGCTAATGGATGGACTGTCATTTTTTTTTTAATGTGGGAGAGAATTAAATGTTCCTTTTTCTTGCTGAAATGGATGTATTTGAGGTTAACACTACCCCCACTGACTTTATTGCCACTACCCGAGAACCAATTTGAAACTGAAGATGTTCAAATATCAAGTCTAAATTTTTTTGTATGTAATCCTTCTTTTTCACTCAGAGTCATCCAAAAAAATGCTTCTCTCAAATGCTTAAGCATCTTTTATATTAATTTGATTGCCTTAATAAAGGCATTACCCACTTACTTTGCACTGATTTTTTTTCCCACAGGCTGGTATTTTTAAAAATGTGACTAAAATAGTTTTTACATAATTAACGAAGATCTTACCTTCCGTGACTTCCAAAGGTCCCTGTGATTTACGAAGTTCCTTTACCGTTTCTAAGAACTCTTTACCACCAGCTTTTTCCAATGCTTTGCCTGACCAAAAGGAAAAGAAAGGAAGGTATGTTTCTATTGCAGTTCTTAACAGGTCTTTATGTATATATGCAGAGGTGCAGATTCAAACTGAATGGTCAGTCATTACTTTGGAATGGATTCTCTCATTAGTTTTCTTTTATCATTGACGGTCAATAAAATATTTATCCTCTGTGCCTTATGAATATATATAAATGATGATTACTGATGCTACTGTGTATAGAAAACCAGCATTGAGCAGCGTAACCTACAATAGGACAATGTTGAAAGAAGCCTTAAATGCAGTAACGTTAACTTGATTTATTTCTCCAAATTGGGTATGTATTTTAAATACTGGAGTAAAGAGAATTAAAACAAGAAAAAAATTGCTAACAATGAAGATGAACAATAGTATCTTAAAAGCTTTTATACATGTATAAAATTTATAACATTCCAGTGGAACTTAGAAGCATATATATAACATATTTTAGTTGTCTATAATACTTTCTAGAACAATTACATTTCCTACTTTAACTCTGATCAAAAAGTTTAAAAAATAACAGATTTGGTAGTTCCTACAGGAAAAAAATTTATTATTCAGACGTTTCAAGTATTTCCATTTGCTTCAAAATAATTTTAGACTTACCTACTTCCTCTTTGAGGTCTATTTCACCAGTAGTTGGATGCACAATACCTTCTACTTTCATTGAACCAATATGGTTGATGTCACTTTGTGTCAGAGATAACTGCAAAATGCCAATGCAACAGGAGCAAAAACAAAAAGTAAAAACAAACAAACCTAAATTTGAGGATTATGAACTACTGAAACTAGACTCCAAGAAACTTGTTATAAAAGTCTAATAAAAAAACCTTGTTCCCAACATGTCATCTAGAAATAAGGACATCATTATCCTTCTTTCATGAACTTGTTTTCACTTTTTTTCAATTATTTGTAATTTTATTAGATATCAAATATATCCATCCCATAACTTGGGGTTGGCAATACCTTTAATTAGTTCTGGACAGTATGAAATCCTTCCTTCATGTAAATTATTTAAATTAAATAATTTACATGAAGGAAGGATTTCATACAGTTCAGAACTAATTAAAGATATTGCCAACCCCAAGTTATCTTGTGATTTCTAGGCTCTTCTATGTGCTGATTACCTTGTGAAAATTAGCTGTGGACACAGCAACAAGTTTTATAAATAAAACCCAATGGTATTTTATCTCCGTAATTTAAAAAAATTCTAACCATCCCACCTATACTGAGTTGCCTGCCATCTTTTAAAGCCAATATTTGTAAGCAAGTCATCCAACCACAGTCCTGTTACATATGCACAGCAGTAGCTGAGCCTCCGAGTCTATGCTTCCACTAGTGACAGTAATACAACTTAACTCTTCAAATGCAGGACAAAATAATATTCTGTGTATACATGCTTAGTATTTTATCTCCCAAATGATTATTCTTAATAACAGAATTAATATGCATATTCTTAGCATCTGCATAGGAGAAGGAATTATGGACATACTTAAGAAGCATGCATCCTTATTGTCTATTGGTAGCTCAGGATAGGAGACTTGTTTATTGTAATATAAAGTAATTACCTATTTCTTTTAATTTGCATAGATAAAATCAATTTGGAATTTCATCTGACTAGTTTGTACTTTTCAATGATGAAATTGCAACACTCTACTGTATTCAGAAGTATCAAAGTTATGTTGATGTAATTCTTGAATCTTGAGACTCATATGTTTTTATATACAATAGTTAAGTAGATACTCTGAAATATCTTCTATATCTAAGGGTTGCAACCCCAGAAGGCGACATTTGCAACTTCTCCAGGATAATGGTGACAGGATTGTTCAGGCTACAAGGAGGGGAATGTTGCTGAAAATCACTGTAACAAATCAAAACTGTGACAACTAACTAGTTTAACTAATTTAGATCCATTTAACAATTTGAACAAGGCATTACTATGTAAAAGATGAAACAGAGAACAAGAAGATGCCTTTGAATTGCAATTTAAATTCTATTCTATTTTACATTTCTAGTGCCTAAGGGATCTGGAGCATGTTTCATTTTATGCAAGCCAAAATGTGTGAGTTAGAAACATTGTTTCTAAGTGATTACCTGCAAACAATTTCTTGAAATTATTCTTAAAATGAATAGGGTAATATAACAAAGATTCTTGAGTGAATTTTTTGCAAGAAGAGACAAATACAGATGTTTTCACTGGAGAATATTTTTGAAGTATAGAACTTTCTACCCTTTAATTTTGTACCTTCTGTCCAGGAACAAGGCTCTTGGACGAGAGTATAGTGAATCCATCTCCAGGTCCATCATCGGATGTTGAATTTGATGCTCCTTCTTTTTCATTTTCCTTCTGTTTATTCTATTAAAATAATATACATACTCAGAAACAGAAAAGCTAAGAGAAATATTTGAAATCCAGAATCTATTTCAAATTGTTCTTTAAAATTTTCATATAAATAATACTATTTGGTAATGTAATTTATACGGGAGGCTATTTTTCCTAGTCTGGATCGTATAAAACCAGACACCACACTAGAAGCCAAAATCATGATCACTACGTCTGATTTACTTTGGCTATGTCAATGATGCTAGGAATGGTTAGTGGAATAATAAGAGGCAAGCGAAGAACATAGTGGCTTGATAATTTATACAAAGATGAATATCCAACAACTGTAAGAAGCTGTGCTTGACAGGGTAGCATGGAGAACACTTGCCTATAAAATCACCAAGAGTCAGACATGACTGAATGATTAAAAGAACATTTTTTTCTAGTGGAAAGAAATATTTTGTAAATACAATAATGGAGGAAAAATTCAGACCAATGTACATATTTATTTTTAAGGTGGGAAAATTCTAATAAATTGAACTGATGTCATGTCACTTTATATTTGGATATGATTTTGTATGAAATAGTCTTTTTGCACAAATTGCTTACTCCCAGAGGCAAAATAAAAAAAAAATCATAGCTAATGCTTTCTCTGATGTGGTAATTTTTTATTTTGTACACAAGAAACGTTTTCATATAATAGATCATTGTGATCAATGTGAGAAAAACTTCACTTTGCAAGGAACTTAACATCCCATGAGTAAAATTATGTTGTGGCTTTTAAGTGGACATAGTAAAGATAGTGGAGAATATATGAAGCTCAAGACTGAACTGTTGGGTTTTTTGTGTTTTTTTAGCTGTTTTGTTTTTTGTAGATATATCATCACCAGGCTCAGTTACAACACCAGTGCAGTGGGGGAGGACAGTGGAATTTGCTGACTGTTCATATATAAAACATGTCTTACCAGCACTGATCAAGTTACTGTTTCTTCTTTGATTGCATTTGGTGCTGGTTCTGATTTATCTGGATATTGGTTAATGGATATGTTATGAGGATGGATGTATTTAAAGTTATCTGCCTAACCCCAATTGTTTCCTTGGCCTCAAGTTACAGGTAGTCCTTGATTTACATCCATTCGTCTGATGACCCTTTGAAGTTACAACGACACTGTAAACGTCACTGAAAAAAGTGACTTATGACTGTTTTTTGAATTTTGATCATGTGATCATGGGGATGCTGCAATGGTCCTAAATCATTTTTTCCAGTTCCTTTGTAACTTTGGTCACTTAATGAACTGTTGTAAATCAAGGACTATCTTTATTAAAAAATTTCAGCAAGCTGGAAAGCCTGCTCTAAAACAAGCATAACAATATCAAATTTTCCCAGTGTTCCCACAAACACATTAGGTCCAGGCCTGAGGCCTTGTTAACGTTTCTCATATTTTAATTAGACTACTAAGAATTAAAATATACTAATGTATAACTTTAATGGAAAAACTTAATTCAACCGACAACCCCAGGAAGCTTGAAACAAAGCAAACGATGCCTGTACTAAAATGCCCGAATGTTACTTAATTTTTTACAATATTGGAGTCACTGACCAGAATATATGTATTTGCTTATGGAAAGGACAGAGTTATTTTCAGATTAAACACCCTCAGGAAATGAATTGTAACTTAAAATTACAAGATATACAAGTAAGCCTTTAAAACAATATTCAGTACATAAAATAATTAAAATAAATTTACCCAAAAAACAAAAGCAAGTTAAACTTCAATTCTATGCACAGTACACTAAAAGTAAAGGAGACCCAGATAAATGTTTTTAAATTCCTTCTGAAGGCCAGCTGGGGTCCTTGGATAGTTCCTAAAGAAGAATTCCAAGTACGAAAGGCTATCGCAGACAAAACCGTCCTTGATACCCACCAATCTTAGTTACTATTCATAGGTCAGATAACAGGAAGTGCAAGAACTCCTTCAGATAACTTACAGCAATGCATGGCCTGAAAGGGTAACTTCAGCACTTTAAATTCGGCCTGAATACAAATATAGCATAGTATAAGTGTAGTGTAATCACAATACCTATAAACATTTTGGCTACTGCACGCTGCACCAATGATAGTTTTAAGACTAGTCTGAAGAGCAGACCCACAGATTACAGTCTAACTACAGCTGGAAAGCTAATCAAAGATGGTAAAAAGCAGTTCTTTATAAGCCTTCAAAATGGGTACACAGTCAAACATGCATCTGCTTAGCCTTCAAGAGCATTTCTTGTTAATACATCTCAGTGGCTCATCTTTCCTGCAGCTTGGAATCTAACATTCAGTAACTAGCTTATTTCATGGCCTATGAACTCAAATATAATATAAACACTGAAACTATTTTCTATCTATTTAGAACTCTGAAATAGGTTTGTTAAGAAAATAACTGCCGTGCTCAGTCTCAATAAGACAAGAAAGTACAACATTCTGGCTCCTAGCAAGGTCAGGGAACATAAGGCAGCCAACATCTCACAGATAATTGAAAGCAGGATCTAAAGCCAGGCCATACACAGAATCCAGCTGACAGTCATGGCATCAAAGACAGTCAGGAAGCAAAGGCATGTTCCAGAGTCAGTCCAAGCATCAAGGGACAGAGTTGGAGTGAATCAACAGAAATCCAGTTCACAAAGGAAGGCTATAACCTAGTAGGCAGACCTCATTTCCAAGGCTAGGTTCTGGGAACTAAAGCCAGAGCTCCTGGAATCCATGCTTTAGCTAGCCACCATTAAGATATTTAGAAGACGGTGGCATA